TAGAGACCTTTTCCAACCTTAACGTTTCTATGATCCAGTGACTCTCGGTGTTTAATGGTGAGAGAGGGTGAGCTCACACCCAGCCTCTTGTGAAAACCCTAGGATGCTGCCTCAGCCCTTTGTAAATGAAGTTCGTCATTTTAATTAGGAGAAGTTGTAATTTCTTAACTTTAGTCTTGTTCACTGTTATTTTCACTTATTTGTTGTTTGTATTTTTTAACAGTTTTTAAAGTCCATTATAGTTCTGTAATCCAAGAGGAGCAGCTGTCTAGGCACATATGGAGAACTGATGAATATGTGCAAGTATTAATTGTGTTCTCAAATTGCTTTTTCTGTGGGTGCCAGTCAGGACACCTGTGTACTGTCCACATCTCCCACACAAATTTTTAGCTCTTTTCTATTTTTGAGACAACTTTGTATTGACCTGTAGTCTGATCTTTATTGGTCAAAAGGCACTTGATGAATACTCTCTAATTTGATAGGTGAAGTTTAAGGTTTTCATGGTAATAATACTACAGATTTTAAGTGAGATTAAGCTATAAATATTGCAAAGAGCTTTAAATTCCAGCAGAGTTTTAATATAAAGTAAATTGCTTAATTAAAACAATCCTGACAAAACTGAGAAGAAAGGCAGGATTGTTGTGCTGCTTCTAGCTGTAGTATTTCCTTTCATGTGCTGACGGTGCTTGCAGGCTTTAATATCTAATGTAGATACCAAAATCCATAACAAGGAACCTGGGGAAAGCTACTCACTTGCTTTTATAAGGAAAATAATTTTTGCGCCCTTCTCCCCCATTACAGCTTAAGGCAGTTTTATAGGAAATGTCTTAAGGGACTGCTCTTGAGAGAGGCAAAATCCTGACTGTACAGTGGTGGTAAATGAAGTCATGGTAAGAAAATTACTATAAATAGGTCATCTGCTGTAATATACCGGTCTGTGACAGAGGCAGCCGTGGTATTTCAAAAGCCAGCCGAGGGGGTCGCAGGGAAGCGGGGCCTGAGGGACGGAACAGGCCGATCCCGGCTGGGGGAGCCGCTGGGCAGCAGCGCTGGGGCAGGGAGGGCAGGGGGAAAGGGGAGAAACAGCCCCACAGACACTGCAGCCGAGCAGGGGGACCTGAACAGGCAACAGCGCTGGGATCCACACTGGGATCCGTGTGGGCAGAACCCACCCTGGCACAGGGGAAAACTGGGAGGAGGAGGGAGAAGCAGGGAGGAGCTACCATGGACTGACCCCTCCATTGTCCTGTAAAGGTGAGGAGGAAGTGATTCTGTGAAGGATGGAGGAGTTGGGAGTAAAGGGAAAAAATGCTGGGCTTGGGAAGGGGGTGCTTAAGGACAGGGTTCTTTCTGTCTTTGTATCTCCCATCCCAACTCTGTGGAAATAGGCAATAAATAAATTCCCCAAGGGAGTTCTGTTGTGCTGGGATGGTGGTTGGTGAGTGAGCTCCCTGTCTTTGTTTCCACCCACAGGTATTGTCGTTTCTTCCCCCTGCCCCGGCCTGTTGGAGAGGGGCAGTGGGGGAAGATCCACACCCAACCCATCTTTTGGCTTTTGAACTCCACAGAGTTAATAAGGAGTCATTAAAAGGGGGAAAAAAAAAATACTGCCAGAATCCCACTTTTTGATGCATAGCTGCACAGCTGAAATTATCCAAATGTTGATTAGTGTGAGTGTGACTTGTTCATTATCAAAGAAATACAGCAAATGTTTTTGTATTGGGGATAGTAAAATGAGGCAACAAGACATGTTAGAGGACTTGTGCTGCTTTGTGAGGAGAGTCCCAATTCGTTAAAGCCATTCAGATTCTTTGTGACTCATTTTAATTATTACCAAAAAATTCTGCAGAAATTCTTACTTATATATTCCAGATTTACCAAATATGTTTAGAAATACACACAGCAGGTCATTCTGGGTGGACTGATAAGGTGCTCCTTGCTTGGGAGCTTGCGATAAAGCCAGCTGAAAAAATGAGAGATTACAAGTTGTATAAAAATTTACTGTGAAACAGAATGAATGTTTACACATCAGACTGACCTGCATATCTTTTATTTAACTACTAACAAGATGACAAAGTTTCAGGTTTCTTTATGCTGCTACTCTAACTACTAAATTGAAGTATTTTAATACTAAAAAATTGGGGAAACGGGGAGGGAGAGGTGTTTCTTAATTGTGGTATCCAGGGCCATCTGTTTTCGATGTTTTTTTACACAGGGGTAGGAATCGGATTAATTTAGCTTAGTGTTAAATTTTGAAGAGGCTTTTTTTTTTTTTATGTTGAAAGAGAGGAGTCATTAAAATGTATCTTCTTCTTTCCTTCTCTCCCATGTGAAGCTCATTAGTCCCTGGGCTCCTATAGTGTGAGGAGGGATGTTAGAAACTGGTTTTTGACTGCTTCAAACTCCCTTTTGCCTCCAAGCCTGGAATTAAGCCATTTTCAACTCTAGTCTAGCTCTCCTTTCTCTCTCATGGGCATTTTCCTTCACTAATATGGATCTCGCATCTATGGTTCTTCATAACCATTTCCCTGAGATCACAGCCACAGCTCTGCTGGCTTTCTCTTCCACTTTCTCTTCCTCCCTTCCTTGCCCTGGACCTTGGATTTTCTGGAAGGACACCCTGTGTTTTTGTGCATTCAGTTTAAAGCAGGTGAAACACTTGTGTTCTGTAGCCTCCTTTACTTGTATTTTAAAGTAAGTACTGCTGGTACTCTTTGACTTGTATAAAATGACTGTTTAAACGTAACCATAGAACATACTGTAATTTAACCAGCATGGTGCTCTGGACCATGGTCCAGATATTTTTGATAATCTTAAACCATCATTACAAGAGTGAGAAAGTGGCTCTCTTAGCAGGTTTAGCTGAGAAGTCTGAATATCATGGTTTGGGACCTGATTCTCATGATAATTTCATTCCCAACTGTTTTATTCTTAAAATAGACCTAATTTGCTATTTTGATACTACCAAACTCAATTGTTTTCATCTTGACTTTTTAAAAAGTGGCAGCCTTTTATTGTCCACACAAATAGCATATAAAAATGGACATTTCCCATACCTACTGTCATTGTCAGTTTATATAGGATTTACTTGTGATCACATTTAGTAATAAAACCTAACAAAAAATTGAGTCATTATGAGTTTATCAGCTATGCATGATTATCTTCCTTGCATAATTTTTTTCAGCCCCAGAAATTTATGTCTTTCTTTTAGGTCTGGTGTCTGTTTTTCTTTCTTTCAAGTGGGACCAGAACCATTATTGATGCAGAGTTGAAAGATTGTGCATCTTTTCATCTCAAAATTGTTTGATAGGAACAACTGATGATGCCATCTGTGCTTAACCTGCTTCAGCAAAACAGATGTGTAATAAGGTTCAGAGAAATTTTAAAAATGCTTATGAAAATGGATTGCATTGATGTCTGTTTTCCTAAGTCATGCAGATCTAGTGGTCTTATAGGAAAACAAACTCAAGTAGGTGGAAGTTCTTTTTTCATCTCAGCTATTTTTGGTAAACAAGTGAAAAACACTTGTTTTAATAATGTGTTGCAACAGAAAACACTTATGTTTCTCTTTGTGGATGTTCCTCTATCAGATGTAATCTTGGTGGATGCAGGTGTCTGTATTTAGAGGGCTTTTATATCCCTCTCATGTACAAGCAGAGATGTGATCAAGGCAGTGCCAGCTGATCAGGTCTCCATGTCAGTCCATCTACTTGGTGTTTTCCCAAGTGAGATTCAGACACTTCAAGCTTTGCAAAGCAGTGGGGATGGAGCTCAGCTGTTCAAAGAACAGCATCCAGCTGTATCAGGAGACCTTGTTTTCCTTCTTGGGTTTGTCTTTCATGGCACATTGGCTGTTTTATGCACTATTGGGGACTGGATGGAGACGAGCCCCCTTGACACACAGTCCTGACCCGGCACAGAGTGGATTAGTTTGGACGCATGTCCTTATTTTATCTTATCTTATGAGTGGTCTTGGTTGATGGCCTCAAACTTTCCTTTTTGGGGAATTCACATATAGTTATATCCTGCAGGGCAAAAACATATTTCCACTTCTGTCTGGTTTTGGTGAAGTTGGTTTTTTTCTATAATTGAGTAATGCTAGTTCTTTTGAAAAATATTACAGTGTTAGTTGTGAAAGTTTTGGGGGGTATTTTCTGTTTATTTGTCTTTACTGACAAGAGGGTTATATTATCTATGGTAATTTTTCTCTTTCAAAGTAGTTTTCCTGGTGGATTTTATTATTAATTGCTTTCGTCCTTTTTCGAGTACCAAGTAATGAATTTTCACACACCCACCCCCTCTCATACCTGGCTGAACTTCAGTAACTGGAATATCACAAATAATTTAAAAATGCTTTTTTGTTGTGGTGACTCATTGTTGCTGACTGCTCAGAGCCATCCAGCTAGGTGCTGACAGAAGTAAACTTTTTCACCTCCATCACTTTAAATCTAAAATTTTACATTTTCTGTATGATTGGAATAAGCGATTCCTGCTGTGTCTAATGAATCCTCTTTATTTAGCATTAGGTTCCATCAGAAAATGGGACTCTTAGCAGATTGAGCCTAAACCACAGGAATAAGAAGTTATTTAGTATGAATTGCATCAGTTAACACTACTTTTTGATGTAAATATTTTAAGGCTCACAAAAACTGGATTGATGTTCCTCTAGGGTAATTAAATGAAAACTGGGTAACTTATTAATCTCTCTCTTTCTCTCTTTCTCACATTTTCTCTCTCTAAACTTATTCTCTCCCTCTCTCTTTTTCCCCTGCATTTCCCCGCTCCTTGCCTCTTTCCTTTTCTCTCTCCCTCCTCCCCCCTCCTCCCAAAAATGTGCCTTTACAGAAACATAAAGTAGATCTTTTCTACAAACTGCGGCATGTGATGAATGAGCTCATAGACCTCCGCAGGCAGCTGCTCTCCGGGCACCTGACACAGGATCAGGTGCGAGAGGTCAAGAGACACCTCACAGTGAGGCTGGACTGGGGCAATGAGTAAGTACTGGGTCCTGTTTCTTCTAATTCTTCTCAAGTAACTTTTATTAACAAAAAACCCTACACATTTCCTTTCCAATAGTATTTGTGCATAGGGAGAACTTGGGATTATTTGAAAATCAAGTATAACTTTTTCCTGAATGTATTGCCTTCTACAGGGAGTTTTGCTCTTGGTGTGAAATGAGCTGTTTGCCAGGAGACCTTTCCAAGGGATCCCTGCACATATAAAAGGATTAGGTCACTTCACTTATTTGGTATCAACCTATAGAATATTAGGCCTGTGAGGATGTGTTCAGAGGTATTTAAAACACATTTTCCTTCCATTGAGGAAGTATTTTAATGGTTGGTGCAAAAAGTAGAGAATCTCACAGTTAACCAGGGACATGGGAGCTGAGGCTGTGATATTCAGACTTTTTGTATCATGATGCTTCTCAGAGGTTTGGTTTCCTTGGTCAGCTCCATGGTGATTTTGTGGAGAGGTTCTTTTAAAGGCAAAGACAACTGTGATTCATTCACACAGAAATGATTGCCATTAGACAAAAACCAGCCCTTGGTCAGACTTGTGTGTCCTGGCATGTGGATCAGACAGGTAAGCTGTGCATGACATACATGACACTCATTCTCAGGCAAACAGAGTTTCCCCACTGGGAGTGGGATTAGTGGGAGCATGTGGGAGTGGGGAGGAGTCTGTAAGTTGACAGCTAATGAGAAAATCCAATGTTTGTCATTCAGCTGTGTTTGTTTGATTCCATTCTGTGGTCACCTACCTCAAAACCCCCTCTGAGTGGCATACCTGAACACCCTGGTAAAGGTTTAGCAACCCCCTTGCTGCGCTTCATTTCTCTCTTGTTGAAAGAAAGCTCTGAAGGACATAGATCAGTAGATTGCATCAAGTCTTTCTGCACTGCAGAATTACAGATATTTTCCATTCTTATTCTCAGTAGAGTAAATGGGAACCAGGAGACTGTTTTTGAGCATTATGCCTGCCTGGTTTTGCTCAGAGTTTATGGATCAAATTAGCAACAAGAAGCTGCAAAAATGCTGTGAGGAAGAAAAAGATGAGGAGAGCGGAGAGCAGTGCAGCAATGAAGAGAATAGGTTGTTCCATGAGGTGCCTGTAGACCTTTTTTGATATAAAACCATTAAATAGGAAGGTAATTTGAACTATAAAGGTATATCTAATGAATGACAATTATGAAGAAGCCTCAGCAAAATCCATAAATATGTTCAGGATTATATTCATCTACTCAGGATGCTTGTTTAGGGCAAAGAAGCCCCTCTGTTTCTTACTGCAGGTATTGAACTCCCTAGAGAAAGAGATGCATGCTATCAGAGATACATGCAATATTTAAATCTAAATGTCTGGAACTTTGGGGGTGTTTCTGCAACATCACTCTCTTCCACAGAATTTCTAGAACAGTTCTGCCACTTTCTTGTATCCCCCCTCTCTATGAGTTTTAGCATGAAGCTTACTACTTGTGTTAATCTACTAAAAACATTAATGATTTTCATAGACATATTCACATAGTACTGACCTTTCTCACGTATTATGATAGTGTTAATTGCTGTTCTGTCTTACTTGAGATTTGCAAATAAAAGAAATTAAAAACGTTGTTCATGTGCATTAATGTTGTCTGAGAAGTTTGAGTTCCCTGCAGTTTGAGCAGACCTGAATTTCTCAAGACAGTGCAATGTAACAGGAGATATTCCATTGCCAAGCAGCTTTCAGGAACAGTAATCTCACACATCTAATATGCAACATGTTTTCTTATTTAGTGAGGGACTCTTTTCATTCTGACCTTGATCATTAATGAATTCTATTATTTGGGAAGGAGTGATGGAAACATGAAACTCATACTTGTCATCACCAATTACCGCTTTTTTTCACTTTGTTAAACTGGTACAATTTTCCTTTAAAAACACTGGCAGTGGCTCTGGAAGTCATCCCTTTTGTCCTGGTAGGAGCTGGTGGAAATCAAGGGACATATACCCTCCTTGAATGAATAGCTACACATTTCTTTTTTTGTGAAAGAGCTCATTTAGATTGTTTTCAAACCTTCTATTTGCTTAGTCTTGTGTGCTTACTGTAAATACTAAGAAGTTTTGCTCTGTAGTTTGGCCTATTAAAATGTGGGAATATTATTTTACAATAACTGCTGCTAAACCCCTGTATTGCTAATTATTTGTTGCTAATTATTTTTCTAGCACAATACTGATTGCCCTTTCCTATAGCCATTCCATTTTCTGTTGCTTACACATTCTTTCTCCCCTGTACAAATAGAAGATCATGGACTCATCCTTTTTTTCATTCATTGTTTCCTGCTTTCTTCCTTGTTCCACTTACCCCCAAGTAGCTTAATTTGTACACATGCTGGGCTGATATTGCTGCTACAGAGGTTTTTGTATTTCCCAATCAGAATTTGGTACCTTCAGATGAGCACCTTGCTGGTTTTAGACTTGCACTTTTAAGCATCTCTCTGTGTATTTTTGCACAGCCAAAATCTTATCTGCTGTTTTCTTTCCTTCTCATCTTGCTGGATTTTATACAAAATATTGCAAATACTTCTGCTTTCTAGCAGTGTTTCACTCTGATACAATTGGCCATAATATTGATCTATGGAAGTCAGAAATGCTATTGGAAGTGTCCAATGGTCGAAGTGTCCAATGGTCTGTGAATAATAAGGAAAAAGTTGTAAAGCATGAAACAAATGTTATAAAGCTGAAGTCTGCTATTTATCATCTCATTTAAGTCACATTATAAAGTTGAATTTTCAGTTCTTCGTCTCATTTTCTATCGTGTTTCAAATAAAATAGATACTTGATTTTGAAATTTTTCTTTAGGTTTTTGCTTTCACATGAATGGATAAGTTTTTCAACTGTTACTATTGCTTAGAATGGGAAACCAGAATGCAGCTTTTTTGCTGCATTCTGCATTGATGAAGAGGTGTTTCATTGTGGAGACTTTTGCATCAAAAACAGATGAAGGAATCTGCCTGACAGAGCTTCTATTTGAAATGTGAATCCTCTGCCTCTGCTTCAGTGCCAAAAGCTAATTGCAGCAGTATGTGCAATACCTTGTGTGCCAGAAAGGCAGATGAAGCTTTCTTCAAAGTAATTCAGCTTGAAAATCAGAGGTCACCTCACCTGATCTTCAGGACTGGTTCTTTCAGATTAATGTATCATCTGTCAGGAGATTACCAGAAAGCATCGAGGTCTCCTTGCATACCCAGGGAAGACACTTCCTTCCCTATAAATGTGGAATATATATATTCTATGTTTTGGGTCAGAAACAGAGTCAGGAGGGGGAGCCACCAATACCTTGATATTTTTTACTGATAAAAGCCATAAACAAGATGAGTTTGTAGGCTTTTATTACTTTTTAGTCAAAGGTTATTCTTTTTTCCCCATAAGATGTTATTAAAATCATTACATTAAAAGAAATTTTCTGAATAGTTGCCATAAATTCTGCACAGAAAGATCCACAGGTAGCCAGAAGGTACAAATGAGTGTTTAAGAAGAAAAACAAAGGGCAAAATGTTAGCAATAAATCTTTTAAACTGTCATACAAAGAAAATGAAGCACAATTTTAAGGTCATGATTTTTCTCCTACCTCAGAATTGCAGCTGGAAAGCCTGTAGCAGCTGGTTAGTACCTACTGACTACTGACATCTGTAACTGTGGAGGGCAGGAATTGTGTGATCTAGTGAAGTCAGCACAGTCTTGAATTTCAAAAAGCCCTGAATTTCAGTGCTCACGCTCTTAGATTATTTTGGGGCTTGGAGTGATTTATCCTCTTGTGATATTTTCTTGACATAAAAGGAATAAGAGTGACTTTTTGGTGGTGTTGTAACAATAAGCTTAAAGTTAGTAAAATGCATCTGGAGATAAGAATTAGAAGTACAGATGATACTTGTTCGGGGAATTAAAGGCAGTTTTTTTGCAGTAGCTATCATTACATCAAAGGAGGTAAAAATAGGAGTGACCAACTTAAGCAACCATGAAGAAATGCCTTTAAGAATTGCAGCTGCCATTTCTCTCTGAATGTCCGGCATCTTTCCCTCTCCTGAATATGCTTGGAGTAATGATTGAGTTTGGATTGAAGGTGTAAGGAGCTTTGCTGAAAGTCAGTCTTTGAGGAAAACCTGAATAACCTCTCCCTGTAGCCTGATACTGCCATGCTCAGAAGTATTTGCTGCAATTCCCTTTTATCAGTTCCTTACTAAGATTATTTACCTTCATCTCTTCTTCCTTTTAAGAAATAATTTCCTATGTAGCATCACATCACTGCTTTACTAATTTCTTTGTAGATTGCAACCCCTGCAATTTTTTGTGTAACTTAATTCTGTCCAAGCAAACTGTTGGGTTGTGTTAGCAGAGTCTCATTTTGACAAACATGGTTTTTTCATGTATTTAATTTTCTGTGGACTTCTGTATTGTATTTCCTTCAAAGTATTTTAAAGTCTGTACATAGTTTTTGTGAATCACTGTTAGCATAATTTTCTTTGCCTTCACCATCTTTGTGTGAGAGAAATACAAACTATATTAAGTGAGGCTTTGATATACTGAGAGAAGGAATGAAAGAAAAAGTGGTAGCGTCAAAATTAAAGCTGAAAAAATTGAGGTAAAGTGGATGTTTTTGGAGCAATGGGGATGAGATCTTGCACCCTCCAGAGATGTGATGAGCTCTCCCAATCTGTTCTTCAGGACTGAGTTTGCATGTGAAAGATGTTGTTGGTTTTTTTTACATCAAATGGCATATTTCCATATTTCTTCAAGGTTCTTGTTGTGCTGACTTGTGGTTTTATGAATTCTAAATGCTGTCATGTTTGTATTGTAAATAAGTGAACGTACTAGAAATTAGGACTGTTCCTCAAAATCACCATTAAACCTTAGCTGATTTTTTCTAGAAGCCCAGGTAACCTTGAGTTGTGTGTTCATCCCTTTCACTATTAAAAAACCCTGTATTTTTGTAAGTTGGCTTGATTTCATATTACTTGAGAGAAAATTATCTAGAGATTTTAGATGGTGGATTTTTAAAAATTTTTATCCCCCAAAGAAAGGAAAATCATGAAGACTTTTATGTAGATGAGGAAGAATATCTAAATGCCAGCTGGAGGTGTCCCAAACAGGTGCAGTCAAAAGGTAATTGATAAGCTTGGGAATATTTTGTAGGTATGCTTGGGAAATATTTTTGAAGGGCAGTTCAGTGTGAAGGCAGAATAAAAGAGCACAAGAATTAGCTTGTAAAAGAAAGTATTGTGGAGACAGGAACTGTCAAATAAACAAACCAGCGCATTATGTAATTTTTATGCATGCTCTGTTTTGGAGAAATACTGCCTGGCAGCTGGGGCTCTTCTATTCCCCCAGTGTTTGATAATAGAGAGGGAAAGTGGGCCACTGACTGTCATTGCCATCTCAAGCATTATGTTGTGAGTCCTTCACAGGCAAAAAAATAATGGATACAAATTGAGTGTACAAACCTGAACTTCCACCTGCACAGTAAATGGCTGCATGTTTGTGCTCCAGCCAAGACGCCCTTATTTGCTGGGAGCAAGTGTTGTGCAGGATTAACATAGTATTAGAGAATGAGAATCTTCTGGGCTGAAAATCCATGGTGTTAAGGGATTTAACTAAAAATAGGATATTAGATAAGTTTCACAGGGATGCTGCTGCAGTTGTATTGAACATTATTAAACAGAAGATAATACTTTTGTCATGTTCTGAGTAATGAGTGCAGGCACTGCTTCACCCCAGCTCTCCCGAGAGTTGAAATGATGTGAACAGAACCTCATCAGGCTGGGATTGGCTTGGCCAGGTTTTCCTAGGGAGCTTTAATAGAGCTCTGTGACTGCCCTGGAACTGCAGTGCACACACAGTGGCTTTGAAAATGTTAGTAGGGAATAATCTGTTCATATCTGTGTGCTGAGGGGAAATCCCTTTATCAATGTACTGTAGGGGTGGGAGTGTGCACACGTGTGAGTGACAGGGTGTTTTGGAGGTTGTTTAGAAACTCACATTCAGGAAAGCTTCTATGATGAATTTGATGAGCATTAACATTTAAAAAACACCGTTGCAATGATTTCTAACTGATTTTACAATTTTTTTATTATATTTTTTTACTTCCTGTGATAAGTAGGCTCAACTGGCAGCTGCAGGTAAGGATTATCTAGTGTGTCCTTATTTTAATCTTTTTCATTTGGTAAATAGATGCAGTCATTTTCATTGTTGCAGCTGCAGTTTTCAGATACTGGTCCTGGGCCACAGATAACTTGTGTTTGATAGGTTTAATCAAAACAAAGTGTGAAACCGTGACTTTCACAATGTAGCATTAGAATTTAGAATTTGGTATTTGACATGAAACTGCATTGGACAAGGAAAGCTGTTCCCTTTTTTCCATTGAAAATATATTTGATTGAGCAAAGAACTGAGAATGTGGAAATTCCAGTTGGTCAGCAGGGAGTTTCAATGATCATACAGTGCTGCCAGGGCAAGTGAACAGGGCTAAGCTGTATTTTGGAGATGTGATGGTTTAGGAGTATAAATAAAAAATAAAACCTGCTTAGGCAAAGATTCAAAAAAAGAATTATGAAGTTTGGAAATTTGTGGGTAGTGTTTAAAAGCACTGTGGTGAGCAAAGGTAGCTGAGCTGCCTCCAAACCGCTGGTTCTCCCCAGCTGTTATTTTAAGCCAATTGCTCAGGAAGAGACACTGGATTGCCTGGAGCCTTCTGTTATTGCTCCACACAATTACTCCACAGTACCAGAGAGGTTTTTCTCAATAAAATTTTTCATTTGCCATCAAATGAACAAGTCTGTGCAGAATGTTTCCCTCTCTGATTACAAAATTAAATTGGCTTCTGCTTTTCTTTTATAGTTTGTGACAGGAGTGCCACAATAATTCGTGAGGCACCTCTTCTGTTTGTTTTGTTTTTCTTTAAGACTGTTGAGAATTTTGATCTAAAATGTCTGGAAGTGAAGTATCAAAGTTATATAAGGCAAAAGCAGGAAAATGGTTAATTAATGTTTTTTGAAAATGTACTTCTAATGTGTGTTTAGTGTAGCTTTTTATTGTTATGCTCAGAACTCTTTGTGCCTCAGAAACTGAAGATCTATGGAGCAAAACTTGGGGTTTGTCACCTTTAAGGTTGTCTTGTTCTGCAGTCTACCATTTCTAATTATTCATTAACAGTTTGCATTTATTTGTCTGGGTAAAGAATATCTTATTCTGTCTGCAACTCCTGTAGAGCTGTGACCTGAACTGCCTTCTCTACAGCTGAATTCCTTAACTAGTCATCTTTGCACTGGTATTTTTTTTCATCAGTTTATATATTTATTTTGAGCCAAAATATTAATTCTGTTCAGAATAATTAAGAACATTTTATGGGTGTTGCAAATACAGATTAAGATTATTGTTATTGCAGTTACTGTTTCTTACTTACAAAAATTACTGTGTTTACACGGGGATGAAGTTTTATGAACACCAGGAATATCAAAGCAGCTTCCCAAGGTTTGGAATCTATTGGCACATTTGAACACGACTATTAATGGAACTTTTTCATTATATTATGAAGATCTTACTCAAATACTTCAACAGCAAACTGAGTATGAACTTTATTTGCTGCTACATTTCCATGCACCTTGTTTTGAGTACTGCAACAACATATTGGCCAAAAGCTTCCCCTGCATTAATTTCCAGAGCTCCACTGAAGTCAGTGAACAAAAAGTAACAAGTCTGTAGAGGGAATTTTTGATATTTGCATTAAACTTTTCTTTAGAATTGTTTAATGGTTAACAATAGCAGTAAGACTGGAATAGCTGAGTATTTCTGTGTCCCTGCCCTGGAGGAGGCACATGCAGGAGGTGCTGGTGACCATTCATGTGCCTCACTGACACTGCTCCTTCCTTCTCTTGCAGACATTTGGGCCTTGACTTAGTTCCACGGAAGGACTTTGAGGTTGTGGATTCAGATCAGATCAGTGTTTCAGACCTTTATAAAATGGTAAGAAATTCTGTGGGAGATTCCTCTGAGTTTTCACTGTGGGAGGGAAAGAAGGGAAAATGTTTTCATTCTTACATGTTTCTCTGTTTCCAGTGGTGTTGTAAGTTCAATGTCTTCTTCATTTGCACCCTGACCACCAGAACAGTGTCTCTCCTATCCTAAGCAGTGGTATGCTTTGATGCATTTTTATTTCAATTTACAAAGTAATGTGGTGTTAACTCTTTGAAGGTTCTCTGAGTGCAGAAAGTCTGTGAGAGCCATTATTTGATTATTTGAGCAGATTTGCAGATGAAGAATACCCAAGTGAAAATCTGGGTTTGTGGTTGCGTAGATAATAGACGTCTTTGTCCTGTTGCTTTTTGAGCTCACAAAAGAAGGGGAGATAAGAGGGAGTCCAATGCATAAGTTCATTTTAGCAAAACTAATCCTTGAATGTCAGTGCTCCTTAGAAAGCATGGAGTGCATTTGAATAAGAATATTTGGATTTGCAGGTGAAGTAGTATAATTCCTTCACTTGAGTGAATTCCAAATGCTGTTATTATTAGTAATTTTTACAGTCCTGTTTGTACATAATGAATTTGAAGTTGTTTTGGAAATGTTAATTGTGCCATTAGTGAACTGTAAAGTTACTCATGCATTTTACAACTTAGCTGTGTTTGGATTCTCTGTTAATAGGACTAATAAAGATAATTTTGGTTTGGATTGTGATGTAACTGTAGAGGGAGAAACAGCATGTAAAATTCAGAAATGTGAATGAAAACTCTTCCTCAGATGCTGTTTTATCTAAAAAAAAAAAATCCAAATAAAAAAGCCTCAGCAATTATGTTGTAGAACTTCTTCACTTAATATCTTCCAAAGAAAATAGTTGTTTTCTGCATAATGTTGTTACAGTGTTACTCTACTTCTAGGAAACTTTTAATTTCCTGTTTTAAAACAGTTCTGACTTTCAGCCATTTAAGATCAGGGGCAGAGAGATCCATGGCTTGGTGATGGGTTTGGTGTGCAAGATGTGACTTTTCCTTAAACCAAAGGCATGTTTTGTAGATAAGCTGGGTGCTGTTGCTGGTTTGGATTATTTGCACCGTGCAACAGTGGATTTCATGGAAAGAAGTAAGAATTATTGCATAAGAAATATGAATGTACACCAGTCTGTAGTGCTAATTTTTAAAGTTTGTTCCTAATTTGCCATGCTCCATGGTGCCAGTACAGCAGAGTTTTCCTTCAGTACTGCGTGGAAATTACTCATTAGCAAATTCCATCAGTGAAGACTCAGGGTGTGAGATCAGTTGCTAACTAAGGATTGGTTTATTACTCTGGGGTTTACTCTGTACATTTTTTTACTCTGAATACTTGGAGTATTGCAAATAGGCAATATTAATTGCCAAAGCAGCCTGATTATGTCACCCCTTAGTCCTGTGACTGTCTCTGTGCTGCTCCATCCTGGGCAGGGCTCAGGACCAGCACCATTACTCACTTCACACTTCACTGCTGCTGGAGTCTGTAGATGCAAGAGGACAGTGCTGTCTAATCACATCTCTTCACAGTCAGGAGGCAATTTCAGGAACCAAAGCAGCTGAAAAGCTGTTCTTTTTTACCTTAAATTTCATAAAAACTGAAGGAAAGGTATGTTGGTGACTTAGGCTGTTTTAGGTTTTTTTTTTAATGTGGTTTGGGGATTGTTTTTATCGTTTAACAAAAACCCATGGAGAGAATCCTCCTTACTTGTGGCTAAATACTTTATGGATTCTCAAATGAGCAGTGAGGTTTTACATTGTAAAATAACCTTGCAGGAATAGTTGTGAGAGCCAAATTACTTTTTTATATTTTCAGGATTGTAGGATGTTAAATGTAACATAGAAAACACTCATTAGCAGAGCAATGGGTGAGATAACACATGAGATTTTTCTCTCTGTTACAACAGAGATTGAAGCACTTTTTACTCAGTCATTAGGCTCAGCACTGCTCTTGCTGATAAATTGTAAGTTGTTATATTTGAGCCTCTCTTTTAGCTCTCATGTTTCATTGCTAAGTGTGTGGCTGCTGGGTGATGCTGTATTCATCTCTTTGACAGAACTGTTGTGCTCTGAGGCCTTGCACATCCTGCTTCTCCATGTTTCTCATTCTGAAGCTAAATGCCAGTGGCGGCAGGATGCACAGCACTTGTCAGGAATTGTTGCTTTGCTCCTGAAGGAAAGCAAATTGCCCTTTCCCTATGACAATGTTTGTGACTTTAACCAATATGACAGAACACTTTTTAAAAATACATATTACTTTTGAATGGTGGGAAAATATGTTCTCAGAATTCTGCCACAGAGCTCAGTGCTGGAGGTGCCACTGGACTGAAGTTGTCATTTAGGAACACAAAGTCCTGCAGGACGTCAGGAAGACTTGGATGGCACATTTTAGTGGAAGGGTTACAAGACACAAATATCTGAAGTGGTTTCAGAGATCAGAAATATTCAAAGCTGGTGATTAATTACATTTAGCTTTTCTGTAAAGTTATTGAAGTGGGTATGTGTCTTCAAGACAAGTTCAGGAGGTGTATGAAAAGCACAGCTTCTGGCTATGTAACTGCTGCAGCTTAGGTATTTCTTGCAACTGTGTGAGAGAAATGCCATGAGTTCACCAGAACTCCTAATTTTAAAAAAAATAGAGTTCCTAAATAAATAGTTTCAAATTAATGCCGCATCACCTCAGAACTGTTTATTCTTTATTTGAATGGTAAATGTGGTTGGTAGTAAGGAATAGCCAAGAAAATAAGAATTCACTTACCCAGAACACTTCTAGATAAGGAAAACAACTGGACACAAATTGGACAAAAGATCATGAAATCTTTGTTGTGATTTTCTTGGTTGTTCTTTGTAAAATAAAGCAGATTGACAGGGAACAGGTTTGTGTACTAAACAAACCTGTTTAAATTGGGTTCTAAAGCCCAGTACAAAGTCAGCTGAGAATATGAAGACAGAAAGCAGTTTAAGACTGACTTGGGAATGAGGGGATTCACTCACCAGGCATTGTTAGGGAAGGAATGAGGAAGAACAACACTGAAAACTGTTATTGATAGATAAGAGATCATGAGAAAGAGGTTGGATGAAAAATGGAGGTAAGGAGAATTGACAGTTCTTTCAGTAAATTAAGAACAAAACCACAAGATGCTCACTAACAGGCCAAGTTGGATAAATTAAGAATTCTTCATTTCCTCCAGGCATTAGAGTGAAAGGGAAATTGAGATTACCAAGAACCCCTTCACAAGAACAGAATTATAGAGAAGTGTAATAGAATAGCACAAGTGGGTAAATAGAAAAATTAGAAAGGCAATGCACAAATTCAAATAAAACAAGCAAATGTGGTCAATTGTATCAAGAAACAGTTTTATATAAATAACCTGGTATTAACTGGGAAGCTAAAAGAAAGTTTTTATACTGGCAAAAGCCAATTGGCACATGTGGCACTTAATGTCCTTCTTGCCCCACTGAACTCTGGTAAGGTGGTAACTTTCTCAAGAGGTTTACAGTTCCAGGGGATTTGGAGCTAGATACATTCCAGTTGGGATCTTTGGAGAAGCCATATCAG